CGCGCTTCTGCTTCTCTCTAATCTGGGTGTTGGGCTGGCCAACGGCCCAGCAAGAGAGGTAGGAATTGGGCTGTGCCCCAGGCCAATTGTTTTTTCTAAATATAAGGCCGAGATTTTTTTCCCAGGCCATTGCCTGGGCTGCCTGGGCCCCAGCTACGATGTTGCCACAGCCACTTCACCAGCCACCACCCCCTTGCTGGCATTTCCAAACGGGCGCCTTGAGCGGGAGCAACTAGTTAATGAGTGCTCCTTCAGGAGCCTCACAATGATCAGCACCACTTGACGCGCTCTCAGCCGTTCGTCACATGTCACGCTTCGAGCGCTTTCTTTGGATTTTTTTCGCACGTGTTTTCGGCTTTTTAAACGATCTTTTTCAGGGTTTTTTTCGACGTTACGGTTTTTCATTGGTCTTCCTTAGCTTTTGGATATTTTTTTTGTGCAAAAAATACGTTTTTTATTTTTCTCTTTTGCGAGAGTCGCGGTTTTGTTTCGCGAGAGTCATGGCCGTGTCTCTCGGAAACGAAAAAAAACATGTTTTTTGTTTTTTTTACTTTCTTGAGTCACGGTTTTGCTTCCACAAGAGGCACGATTGTGCTTTCCCGAGAGTCACGGCCGTGTCTCTCGGAAACGAAGAAAAACACGTTTTCTATTTTTTTCCTTTCGCGAGAGTCACGGTTTTGCTTTCGTGAGAGGCATGATTGTGCTTTCGCGAGAGTCACGGCCGTGCATCTCGGAAACGAAAAAAAACGTGTTTTCTTTTTTTTCCCCTTTCACGAGAATCACAGTTTTGCTTCCGCGAAAGGCACGGTTGTGCTTTCGCGAGAGTCACGGATATGCCCCTCGAAAACGGAAATAAAACGTGTTTTTTCCTTTCGGAAGAGTCACAGTTTTGCTTCTGCGAGAGGTATGGTTGTGATTTTCGCGAGAAGCATGGTCGTGCCTCCTCGGAAATAGAAAAAAAAACGTGTTTTCTCTTTTTTTTTCTTCCACGAGGGTCATGGTTTTGCTTCCGCGAGAGACATGGTTGTGATTTCGTGAGAGGCACGGGCCTGCCTCTTTCAGAAAGGAAAAAAACCCGTGCTTCCGGTTCAGTTCTTTCGTCCGATTTTTTTCATGAAAAAAAGTTCGTCAAAACCTATTAACATAGGATCTAGTTTTGAAGATCTCGATGCGAGAAATCCAACGACGAAAGCGATTCGAGATTTGGACGCACAGTTCGAAAGATAAAACGTTTTGAGTAACGAATCAAAACTCTCAGGTTGCGACAAGTGGCGTACATGCAGCGCGCCACTTGTCACAACCTAAAAAGGTTGGAGTGATCTTTGCACATGCAGCATGCCCCGCGCTTGGCTGGCTTGTTTCTTTCTTTTTCTTTATGTTCAATACTGCAGCAAAAATCATATTTTGAATGTGCGAGCTCTAACTTATGATCTTCTGGTTGAGAGAGCAGTGCACTGACCAAAAGGACACCATTCTGTTTGTGTCTATTAACTTCTTTTCACCCTTTTATTTATCTAGGCCGCGAGAGACTCCAAACCAGCTTTCACTGCTTCGCTGATTTCAGGGTGTTTTTTTTCTGGTTCTTTTTCCTTTTTATTTTCTTGTTTTTTTCTTCAATGTGTGAACTTTTTTCAAATTAGGTGAACTTTTTCTAAAATTGATGAACTTTTTTAAAAATTTGATGAACTTTTTCAAATTCAATGAACTCTTTTCAAATTTGATGAACTTTTTTTCAAATTGGATGTACTTTTTCAAAATTGATGAATATTTTTCAAATTCAATGATTTTTTTCAAAATCGATGAACTTTTTCAAAATTGATGTTTTTTTTAAATTCAATGAACTTTTGTTCGAAATCGATGACCTCTTTTTCAAAATCAATGAACTTTTTTAAAATTTAATGAACTTTTTTCAAAATTGATGAACGTTTTTTCAAAATTGATGATATTTTTATTTTTTGATGAATTTTTTTTGCAAAATCAAAGAACTTTTTTTTTCAAAATCAAAACTATTTTTTGATGAATTTTTTATAAATGGATTATTTTTAAAAAAAAATATGTGAACTAATTTTGAGGTTTATGAACTTTAATTCATGAACTTTTTATAATAACTCGATGAACTTTTTTCGATTTTCTTGAAGTCTGATGTATTTCGTGAACTTCTTCTAAATTTTTATGAACCTTTTCAAATCCGTGAATTTTCCTGAAATTAGTGCCCTTTTTAAAATTCCATGTACTTTTCAAATCTGTGAACTTTTTCCTGAAACGAGTGATCTTTTTTGAATACATGAACCTTTTTTTTAAACAAATTCGTGAAACTTATTTTTATTGTTTGTCAGCTTTTTTTTTTGGAACCGCGCGGCTTCCATTGTTTCTTAAGAGTTTTGCGGTACAATTTGTATCTTTCT